AGCTTTGCAGCTTTTTTCTCCACTTCATGAATGTTAGGGATTATTATTCCTCACATTTCCTTTCACAGTAGTCACAGGGTAAAGTAGGGTTTGGTGTGTATTACACAGAGTGTGCCTCTTTCTAGCCTCTACTAGAATGGTGGGCCATTCTCAGGGAAACCTGAATACAACCAGAAAGATAGGAAGAGAATAAACATCTGGCTTCCAGTTTTCCTGAGAAGGTATCACAGCTATGGAAAATACAAAGGTGGTGGAATTTCTTTTCTTTTCTTTTCTTTTTTAGATAGTTTCACTTTGTCATCCAGGCGGGAGTGCCTTGGTGTGAACTCAGCTCACTGCAACCTCTGCCTCCCAGGTCCAAGCAATTCTTGTGCGTCAGCCTCCAGAGTAGCTGGAATTACAGGTGTGAGCCATTACGCCCAGCTAATTTTTGTATTTTTAGTAGAGACAGGATTTCACCATGTTGGCTAGGCTGGCTCAAACTCCTGGCCTCAAGTGATCTGCCTGTCTTGGCCTTCCAAAAATCTGGGATTACAGGCATGAGCCACTGTGCCTAGTCTTCTTCCCTTTTTAAAATTCTTTTCTTCTTTTTAAATTTTAAATAGAGGCAGGGTCTCATTATGTTGCCCAGGCTGGTCTGGAACTCCTGGGCTCAAGTGATCCTCCTGCCTCAGCCTCCCAAAGTGCTAGGATTGCACATATGAGCCACCAGGCCTGGCCAGGTGGTAAGATTTTGAAAGGGAAATTCCCAAGTGAAGTTATTCTTTATTGCTCCTAATTTAGCTATCCTTTCTGAAAAGTTTAGTGAAGAGGTGAGAACTTCTTCCTTCTGGAGAAGATCCTCTTCTCTGTTCCATTTCTCCAGATTCCAAAAGGGAAATATTACTCTGGCTATCACTGAGGTTGACATCATTTTTTTTTTTCTTCTTCTTATGTATCTCTCTTCCTTCTCTTCCCCTTTCCTTTCCTTTTTTTGTATTTACAATTTCATGATTTTTTCCTCTTCTCCTCTCTTCCTGATCTTGGTCCTTTAGTTGGCCATATACCAAAGTATATTTATTGTCAGCAGTATTTCTTGAGGTGTTTTTCGTTTATTGTTTTTAATAAAAATAAAACTATTTGGGGTGAAAGTTATATATATCCCTTTATGAAAGCAAATTCTAAGATGTATTAACATTTTTTATTGATACATAATAATTGTACATATTTATGGGGTACATGTGATATTTTGATACATGTATACAATGTGTAATGATCAAACTGGAATAACTGGCATATCCATCATCCCAAACATTTATCATTTCTTTGTGTTGGGAACATTTCAAATATTCTAGGTATTTTGAAATGTACAACAGGCTGGACATGGTGGCTCATGCCTGTAATCCTAGCATTTTAGGAGGTTGAGGCAGGTGGATCACTTGAGCCCTAGGAGTGGGCTAGCCTGGGCAACATAGCGAGACTGTGTCTTTATAAAAAGATGAAAAAAATTAGCTGGGCATGGTGGTGCATGCCTATGGTCCTAGCTACTCAGGAGGCTGAGGCAGGAGAATTGTTGGAGCCCAGGAAGTTGAGGCTGCAATGAGCTGTGGTTGCACCATTGCACTCCAGCCTGGGTGACAGATTGAGACCCTGTCTCAAAAGAAAAAAAGATATATATAATAAATTATTAATTATAGTCACCTTACTATGCTATCAAACACTAGATTTTACTCCTTCTAACTGCATTTTTGTATCCATTAGCTAACCTCCCTCCATCCCCCCCACCGCCGCCAACTCTTCACAGGCTGTGATAGCTATCACTCTACCTCCATGAGATCAACTTTTTCAGCTCTCACACATGAGTAAGAACATGTGATATTTGTCTTTCTGTGTCTGGCTTATTTCACTTAACACAATGACCTCCAGTTCCATCCATGTTGCTGCAAATGACAGGATTTCATTATTTTTTATGTCTGAGTAGTATTCCATCATGTATATATAACACATTTTCTTTATCCATGCATCTGTTGGTGGACACTTAGGTTGATCCGTATCTTGGCTATTGTGAATAGTGCTGCAATAAACATGGTGGTGCAGGTATCTCTTTGATTACTGATTTCCTTGCGTTTGAATAAATGCCCAGTAGTGGAATTGCTGGATCATATAGTAGTTCTGTTTTTAGTTTTTTGAGAAATGTCCATACTGTTTTCTATAATGGCAATACTAATTTGTATTCTCAACAGTGTATGAGACTTTCCTTTTCTCTTTTATATGGAGTGAGATAATATCTCATTGTGGTTTTGATTTGCATTTTCATAATAATAAATGGTGTTGAGCATTTTTTCATATACTGTTGGCTATCTGTATGTATTCCTTTGAGAAATGTTTATGCAGATCCTTTGTCTACTTTTTAATGGGATTATTATTTATTTATTTTTGTTGTTGAGTTGAGTTCCTTTTATATTCTGGATATCAGTCTCTTGTTGGATGAATAGTTTGCAAATATTTTCTCCCATTCAGCAGGTTGTCTCTTCGTTCTGTTGATGTTTCCTTTTCTGTGAAGAAATTTTCAGTTTAATATTGTTCCATTTGTCTATTTTTGTTTTTCTAGCCTGTGCTTTCAAGGTCTTAGCCATAAAATCCTTGTCCAGACCAATGTCCTGAAGCATTTCTCCAATGTTTTCTTCCAGTAGTTCTATAGTTTTAGGTCTTATGATTAAGATTAAGTCTTTAATACAACTTCAGTTGATATTTGTATATGGAGAGAGAGAGAGAGAGAGAGAGAGAGAGAGAGAGAGAGAGAGATATCTAGTTTTATTCTTCTGCATATGGATATCTAGTTTTCCCAGCACCGTTTATTGGAAATACTGTCCTTTCCCAACGTATGTTCTTGGTGCATTTGTTGGAAGTCAGTTGACTGTAAATGTGTGGGTTTATTTCTGGGTTCTCCAGTCTTTTCTATTGGTTTATGTGTTTCTTTTTACGTCAGTACCATGCTGTTTTGGTTACTATGGCTTGTAGTATATTTTGAAGTCAGGTAGTGTGATGCCTCCAGCTTTGTTCTTTTTGCTCAGGATTGCTTTTGCTATTCAGGGTCTTTTGTGGTTTTATACAAATTTTAGGATTTTTTTCTATTTTCGTGAAGAATGTCATTGGCATTTTGATAGGGATCATGTTGAATCTGTAGATTGCTTTGGGTAGTATGGTAATTTTAACAATAGTAATTCTTCCAATCCATGAGCATAGGATGCCTTTCCATGTTTTTGTGTTCTCTCTCTCTCTCTCTGTAATCAAAGAGATACCTGCACCCTCATGTTTATTGCAGCATTATTCACGATAGCCAAGATATGAATCAACCTAAGTGTCCATCAACAGATGAATGATAAATCTCTCTCTCTGTCTGTCTCTCTCTCTCTCTCTTTTAGATGGAGTCTTGCTCTGTTGCCCAGGCTCTGGTCTGAGCCAGGAGTGCAGTAGTATGATCTTGGCTTACTGTAACCTCTGTCTCCCGGATTCAAGTGATTCTCCTGTCTCAGCCTCCCAAGTAGATGGGACTACAGGCACGTGCCACCATGGCCAGGTAATTATTGTATTTTTAGTAGATATGTGATTTTACCATGTTGGCCAGGCTCATCTTGAATTCCTAGACTCAAGTGATCTGCCTGCCCCAGCCTCCCAAAGTGGTGGGATTACAGGCATGAGCCACTGCACCCAGCCTGGACTTTCTTTTAAAAGTAGCACTTTTAATCCCAGCACTTTGGGAGGCCGAGGGGGATGGATCACCTGAGGTCAGGAGTTCGAGATCAGCCTAACCAACATGGTGAAATCCTGTTGGCAGGTGTCTGTAATTCCAGCCACTCAGGAGGCTGAAGCAGGAGAACGGATTGAACCTGGCAGGTGGAGGTTGCAGTGAGCCGAGACTGTGCCATCGTCCCTCCTGGGCAACAAGAGCAAAACTCCCTCTCAAAAAAAAAAAAAAAAAAAAAAAGAGTGGCTAGAGTACTGGCCACTTTTTTCTTGCGGTGGAAGCAAGCACATTTGAAAAACATAGTGTGTATGCTTTAGGATAGGGAGGAATGGAGAGAGAGGACATGGGCAGGGGTGGAAAGATGTGGGTTCTCGTATTGATTTTTGGTGTGAGCTTGAGCAAGTTTTGTACTTACAAAAAATGCCTGTTGAACTACCAAAAGAAGTGCTTCCTTTGGAGAGTGAGGATCCTGTATTACCGAGGTTTGTATTTTCAGGCCCTAGCGTCTAAATGTGCTACATACTAGATATTCAACTAGTATTGGAGGAATGAAGGTGAACACGGCAGTTTCCTCATCTGTAAAAGCAGAGTTTGGACCAAATGATCTGCAAAATGGGTCTTTTTATACTCTTACTACTCTAGTACTTACGAGTAACCGACGTTATTCTCAACTCCTGGTCTGAGCCATGTCTGAGGAGGTGGCCTAACTCCTATACCACCCCGAACACTCTGGGGCCAGTGGGACCCTGTTTGGACAGACGTCTGTGTCTTCTAGCTCTTTAGGACGTGAGCAGTACTGCTGTGGAAGAAAGAAACCTAATTTCCCATGCCTTGTCCCTTTTCTGGAAAGGGCACGGCGTGGTGTGATCACCACACCTGCCACAGCCTTCTAAGCGAGAAAACATCACAGCCTTCCCCGCTCCCCGAAAAGCGCTATTCTCCGATTGGGTCTAGATGACCCCTTCCCAGCCAGGGCCGATGGCCAAAGACTCCGCTCCCTTGAAGTGTGGGCTTGGAAAGGCACCGGACCCGCCTTCCCTGGGCGGTGGAGCAGGTGAAGGGCGGAGGGCAGGCGGCGCGCTGGGTTAGTTACCTGGCGCTGGGCGGGGCAGGCGGGAGGCGGGGGCGGGGCCTGGGTGAGCTCCCAGGCTGTGATTGGGCCGCGCCGCGCCTGTCTCCATGTGCCGCGCGGCTGAGGCACAACATTCAAGCCCGGGGGCGGGGCCCGCGGGCGCCGGGAGGAAGCGGCAGCGCGGTAGCTGCGGGGCGTGGGGGCGGCGGGGGCGGCGGCGGCGGCGGTGGCTGAGGCCGAGGTGGCGGTGGCTGTGGCGGACACAGCGGCACCCCAGCTAGGGACAGGGCTCCGCCGCGCCCCCTTGCAGGCCCCATGGAGGCGGCAGCGGCGGGTGGGGGCTGTGGCTCCGGGCCGCCGCCGCTGCTGCTGAGTGAGGGCGAGCAGCAGTGCTACTCCGAGCTCTTCGCGCGCTGCGCCGGCGCCGCGGGCGGGGGCCCCGGGCCTGGGGCCCCCGAGGCCTCCAGAGTCGCCCCCGGCACGGTCACTGCGGCTGCCGGCCCCGTGGCTGACCTGTTTCGGGCGTCGCAGCTGCCCGCCGAGACGCTGCACCAGGTAGGTCCCTCCGCCTCCTGTCCCTGCGGGTTTGTGGGGACAGTGTCTGCGGGGGCGGAGGTTGCGAGTGGGGCGGCAGGGCTACCCCCAGGGACCCGGAGGCCTCGGCCAGTTCTCAGAGAGGGCTCTGCAGCCGGGGATGGCGGCGACGCCCTTGTCCCCGGGGGACACCAGCCTCCTCCGCAGCTCAGCTCCTCGCCCAGTGCTGGGTGCGCTCTCCCCATTTTCCTTCCCTGAGACTGACACTCCCTCCCCTCCCCCGGCCATTTCTGGGGTTCTGCAGCCGTGCAGGCCTAAAGTTTGTCCTGTTCTGGAAGTGGTGTTTGTTTTGGCTGCTGTCTGTTTTAACCTCTGCTCGCTGCTCCTGCCCCTCCCTCCCCTGAGTGGGCCCTCAGGGTGCCTTGTTGGGATTTGAACTTGAAGGGCTTGTGTCTCTGTAGGGTTCGAGCCCAGGGCTGAATATTGTCCTCTCTATGTACTTGTGATATGTATGTATCTACTATATATAACTGCCCGTAACATATTTGTAAATATTAATATTAAATCGAAAACCTTAATGACAAGTTGCAGAGCAGGGACACGGTACTGCAAGAGGACGTTTGTCAGGTCAAAGCCAAATTTCCCATTTGACGCTAGAGGTGGACTTCAGAAGTTCACCATGGGGAACAGCTGTAGTTTCCCATCTTATCATTACTTGGACTTCAAATAGAAGTGAAAAGTAAGGGGTGTCATAGCTACCACCTTTTGGCTGTTTTATACCTAGAAAAGGACTAGGGGATGACCCATACCAGACGCTGTTTTTGTTTTTTGCTTTCTTTGGAGCTTGGAGAAAGACTACTTGACAAGCCCTTTGTCATTTCATGTCACTAGGACTTCATGGTGATAAAATTGTTAATATCAGGTTCAAAACGTGAAATGAAGCTTTTCCTAAAAGCAATAGTATGAATGTTATTAACACCAATTGAATATTTAGAGTGACGAGTGGTATTTTAAAATCTAGTTTCAAAGGAGATCTGAGGGTTTTACGGCTCACTTGCAATTTCATTGTGTTCATTTGTATTTAAAAAAAATACAAGACTGCGTTTTATACTGCTAGAGCGTGCATATGGCTCTATGTTGGTGAGCATAACTTTAGATGCTTTGTAATCATTCACCTTTCTGCATTTGGGATTTCTGAAAATATAACTAGTATTCACAGAACTTAGCATGGCTGTTTGTCCCTAAAGAAGTCCTTGATATGTAGACAGTTCTGCCATTGCTGATGAGTATTTGAGCTGTACCAGGTAAAGAGAAACTCAGTGTCTTAAAACACAAACCATGGCTATTACATGAGGCCCTCAGAATACTCCCGAGCATATGTTTATTCAATGCTGTAGCTGCTTCCCAGCTGAAAGAGGAATAATTGACTGAGGCTATACAGCAGTAAGTGACAGCTGGGTACCTATTAAACTTATTTTGTTGTCAGTAATGCATCGGATGTTATAAGAGGCGGTGAGCATATTAAATCTGAATATGTTGGTTGATGCCTCCTTAGGAATTGGGAAGGATATCCTGTTGTTAGAACCCATACTTTCTTGAGGTACATATGTTTTAAGACCAAAGGCACAGTGCCTTTGCATGAATAAAATTATATTTTTGATGTCCAGTTGAAATCTGCTTGCAAAAGACTGCTTCAAATACTGACAAAAAGGGACATCCCTACAAGATTGCTTGGAGTAGGCCGGGCGCGGTGGCTCAAGCCTGTAATCCCAGCACTTTGGGAGGCCAAGGCGGGTGGATCACGAGGTGAAGAGATCGAGACCATCCTGGTCAACATGGTGAAACCCCGTCTCTACTAAAACTACAAAAAATTAGCTGGGCATGGTGGCACGTGCCTGTAGTCCCAGCGACTCAGGAGGCTGAGGCAGGAGAATTGCCTGAACCCAGGAGGCGGAGGTTGTGGTGAGCCGAGATCGCGCCATTGCACTCCAGCCTGGGTAACAAGAGCGAAACTCCGTCTCAAAAAAAAAAAAAAAAAAAAAGATTGCTTGGAGTAAATCTCTCAGAGCTTGACGCTCCCTTATTCAGCCCATCAAAGCAAAAACACATCACCCCCCTTTAATCCAACAAAATTACCATAACTCAGTATTCTTGGTACAGGTGAAAATGAACATTGAAGGCAAACTGGATATGTAATTCTAAGAGAGTCAAAGCTAGCAAACACCTAATTTTCACTCATCACTTTGGTGGTGAGTGTATGCTCCATCCACCTTAATTTCCATTACCCCATCAGTGTATTAGCCATTCTTTAAAACAAGTGTAGATGTTTTTACCCTTTCCCTGTTAATCAGGAACCTGTAAGTTGAGATTTAAGTGGCCGAACAGGTATAACTGCTCAAATCTTGAGGCACTAACAAGCCCTGGTATTTTCTGTGGTAACAACCAGGTTTTCCTCTTAATAAGCATACAATTAAGATTACCATAATAATGTTCCAGGAAGAGTGAGAACCTTGCAGTCTTACCACAAGTAAATGCTTTATAAAAATACCTAATTTTATTTGCTCCTTGGAGTAAAAATAAACCACTATACTTGTTACTTTGTTATGGAAGTGAGCCTCTTAGGGTTTTTTCCCCAGTTGAGATACACACACACAAACACACATACATATACATATATGTGTGTGTGAGATATATGGCATATGTATACAAAATCTCAACTTTTCTTTTTTTGAGACTGAGTCCCACTCTGTTGCCCAGGCTGGAGTGCAGTGGCATGATCTCAGCTCACGGCAACCTCTGCCTCCTGGGTTCAAGCAATTCTCATGCCTCAGCCTCTCGAGTAGCTGGGATTACAGGCACCTGCTACCACGCCCAGCTAAGTTTTGTATTTTTAGTAGAGTCAGCGTTTTACCGTGTTGGCCAGGCTGGTCTCAAACTCCTGACTTCAGGTGATCCACCTGCCTCAGCCTCCCAAAGTGCTGGGATTACAGGCGTGAGCCACCGTGTCCAGCCTCAACATATTTTTTAATAGACTATTTTTTTCAGAGCAGTTTTAGGTTCACAGCAAAATTTAGCAGAGTACCCATATATCCCCTGTCCCGACACACCCATAGCTTTTCCTACTCTCAACATCCCACACCAGAATGATAGAGTTTTTACAATTGATAAACCTGCATTGACACATCGTTATTCCCCAAAGTCTATATATTAGGGCTCACTCTTGGTGTTGTACATTCTGTGGGTTTGGAAAAATGTATAATGACATGGATCCACGATTGTAGTATCATACAGAATAGTTTCACTGCTCTAAAAATCTGTGCTCCACTGATTCATCCCTCCCTCTCCATTAACATGTGGCAACCACTGATTTTTTTTTTTTTACTGTCCTATAGTTTTGCCTTTTTTAGAATGTCATATAGTTGGAGTCATACAGTATATAAACTTTTTAACATTGGCTTCTTTCATGTAGTAATATGCACTTAAGATTCCTCCATGTCTTTTTATGGTTTGGTGGCTCATTTCTTTATAGTGCTGAATAATATTCCATTGTCTGGATGTACTACAGTTTATTTCTTCACCTACTGAAGGATATCTTGGTTGCTTCCAAGTTTGGGCAATTATGGATAGAGCTGTTATAAACATCTGTATGCAGGCTTTTTGTTACATGCAGGATATAAGCTTTTAACTCATTTGGGTAAATAGCAAGGGGAATGATTGCTAGATTACATGGTAAGAGTATATTTAGTTTTATAAGAAACTGCCAAACTGCCTTCCAAAGTGGTTGTACCATTTTGCATTCCCACCAGAAATGAATTGGTGTCTTTACGAAGTATTTATTTTCCTTTGCTGACTGATTTTAACAGCAGGATTCTAGCACTAGGTGGAAAATGTATATGAGTTTCTGATGTGTGTCAGGTACTGTCCTAGGTGCTGAGGTTATAATAGTGAACTCAACACAAATCTCTGTCTTCATGGAGCTTATGTTCCAATGCAAATGTTTTTATACTTGAGATTTTTTTTTTTTTTGGTTGAGAAAAGACTTGAAAAATAACATACAAAAATAAAATGTCAGCTGGGTGCAGTGGCTCACACCTGCAGTCCCAGTGCTTTGGGAGGCCAAGGATGGGAGGATTGCTTGAGGCTAGGAGTTTGAGACCAGCCTGGGTAACATAGCAAGACCCTGTCTCTACAAAAAATAAAATAGCCGGGCCTGGTGGCTTATGCCTGTAGTCCTAGCTACTCTGGAGGCTGAGGGAGGAGAATTCCTTGAGCCGGTGAGTTTAAGGTTATAGCAAGCTATGATTACACCGTTGCTCTCCAGCCCAGGCAACAGAGCAAGACCCTGTCTCAAAATTAAGTAAAGTAAGGCTTTCAAACCCAAACCAAATACGTGTCAAACCCAGACCTGATTCTCATCACATGCCATGCCTTCTAGTAAAATGTTGGTCTTTGAATACCAACAAAATATAACCTGGGAAACAAATCACTCTAACATTTGTAGCTCTGTCTTGAAATATTAAACAAAACCATTACCTGTTCTTAGACATATTTTCTTTTTCTAGTTTAAAAGTGTTCCATTCTGTCATTTTCCACCTAGTGCTAGAATCCTGCTCTTAAAATAGGTCAGCACAGGGAAATAAATACTCTGTAAAGAGACCAAAAGACCTTTTAAAATAGGCTATGGCCAGGCCCAGTAGCTCATGCCTGTAAATCCAAGCACTTTGGGAGTCTGAGGCAGGAAGATTGCTTGAGCCCAGGAGTTCAAGACTAGCTTGGGCAAGATGGCAAAACCCTGTCTACGCACGTGCGTGCGCGCGCGCACACACACACACACACACCCACCCCCTATTTAATTCTCTCTGGGGCACACCTGTAGTTCCAGATATTCTGGAGGCTGAGGTGGGAGGATCCCATGAGCCTAGGAGTTTGAGGCTGCAATGAGCCATTATGACACCACTGCACTCCAGCCTGGGTGAGAGAGTCAGACCCTGTTTCATTAAAAAATAAAATATCTACCTTAA